TCTTTCTTTCTCTCTTTCTTTCTTCTCTTTAAACCTATACCTGTTTTTATTTAAATGAAAATTTAAAGAGACTTTGGATTTCCATTCATTCATTTTTACACAATTTCCTCATTTCCCACCCTCCGCCACTGCGCAGTTCACTTTTATCTTTGAAAAAAAAAGGAAAAAAAGTTCTTTCATTGTTATACAATCTCCCCCATCCCTAGTCCACTTCACTATGCAGCTTTCGTTCTCAACTCTTGTCATGACAATAATACCTAATCCTATATTCCTCCTAAATAGTTCTCTCCCTCGTCTGTTTCAATTTAGTAGACATTATTTATCCCCTCTTAGTTTTCCCCCCAACTCCAATGTCAGACCTGCTTTACAACATTGGCACTATGCAATATTTGTCCTTTTGTGACTCAGATATTTCACTCAGCATAATGTCCTCTAGGGTCACCCATTTTGTATAATATTTCATGAGTTCCTAGTTTTTCATTGCAGCATAGTATTCCATTGTATGAATATACCAAAGCTTCTCTAGTCATTTGTTTGTTCATGGACATTTGGGTTGTTTCCAGCTCTTTGCTATTGTGAACAAAGCTGCAATAAACATGGGTGTGCATATACCTTTTTGGGTGACAGTTCTGGTTTCTTTAGGGTACATTTCCAGTAGTTATATTGCTGGGTCAAATTATAGTTTTATTTTCAACTTTTTTCATCAACAGTGAATAAGGGTTCCAGTTTCTCTGCAACCTCGCCAGCATTTATCACTTGCTGTTCTGTTAAATTTTGCTATTCTTTCTGGAGTGAGATGATGTCTCATAGTTTTGATTTGCATCTCTCTTAGAGCTGGGGATTTTGAACATTTCTTCATGTGTTTGTTTGCCATCTGAATATCTTCTTTGGTGAAGTCTGAGCATGAACAGACTTTCAAATGTAATAAAATCCACAACCAGAAGAAGATAAAACAGAGTGAGAACTTCTAAAATAGCAAATCCTTATGTGCATCAAAAATTTCTCCAACAGAGTAAAAAAAGTCCATATAAGAAAAAAAATATTTAGGAATGACATATCTAATAAGGGACTTATATCTAATATTTCTAGAATTCTTCAGCATCTCAACAAATAAAAGACAAATAACTCAAATACAAAATAAGCAGAAGATATTAAAAGATTCCTTACCAAAGAAGATATTCAGATCATCAAAAATCACATGAAGAAATGTTTAAAATATCTATTTACTATAGGTAAAAATAACAATGAATCATCATTTCACCCAGCAACAAA